AGGGCACGCTGATCCGCGTGTTCAACACCGCTGATGGGTTGAAGCTGCACGAGGTGAGCATCATGTGCATCATGTGCATCATGTGCATCATGTGCATCATATGTGTGCTGGCTCTCTTTACACATGAGCGACTGGCCACGGCAGCAGCAAGGGGATGCTGATTCGAGTGTTCAACACTGCGGGCGGGGTGACGCTGCTCGAGGTGAGCAGAACATGGACATGCATGTCATGGATCGGTTCTCCCTGTCTCTCCATGCACTCTTTTCTGGCCTCTGTTTGTTCACTTCCGGACCGGCCTAACATCTACCTCCCATGCTAGTTGCGCCGGGGATTGGAGAGGGCCGACATCTACAGCTCGGTCTTTTCCCCCGAGGCGCCCTGTCTAGTGTCCGCCAGCGACAGAGGCATCGTGCATGTGCTCTCTTTATGCCCTCTTCTCCTTCTCCCTGCCCTCTTCTCTCTTCTGTTGTCCCCCAATGCACTCCGTGCTGCCTTGCCCTACCATCCACCTACCAGGGCAGCTGCACCGGCGAGTAGAAAGAGACGACATTTTGCAGCCTGGTGTCTCCCCCCAAGGCACCCTTGCTAGCGGCCGCCAGCGACAGATGCACACACAGGGCGCCGTGCGTCTTCTCATCCCTCCCTCCCTGCCCTTGCCGCCCCCACCGTGCATGTTTTCAGCTGCGCCGGGGAGTGGAGCGAGCCGACATCTACAGCCTGGTGTTCTCCCCCAAGGCGCCCTTCCTGGTGGCAGCCAGCGACAGAGGCACAGTGCACGTGTTCTCAGTGGGGCACTCGCAGCCACAGGGGCAGGGGCAGGAGGATGGGGGGGGAGGAGGAGGGGGGAAGGGAGGAGGGAGCAGCGGAGCAGTGTCGGCACTCTCTTCGTTCGGGTTGATGAAAGGTGAGCCCGACAAGTGATTGAGGCCCGACAAGTGATTGAGGCCCGACAAGTGATTGAATTGAGTTCTCGAAAATCGCCTACAACTTCTTGAAAGGTGAGCCCTGCAGGTGATCGAGGATAGGGGCAGGATCTAGAGGTGGGTCTCAAAGGCGCGGCACGGCTAACAGGTGATTCTCCGATTGCATCACGACTCTTTAGCGCACACTGCCACCCTCCGTGTGTAATGAGTCCTGATTCGACGAAAAAATCGACTCATTACACACTCTTTAGCGCACACTGCCACCCTCCTCACTCACAATTCTCGCTCTACCGCATCGGCGTGCTCACTCGCATGCTCGCTGCCTCTGTTATTGTGTGATGCAGTCTTCCCCCCCCCACCCTCCCTTCCCCCTGCCTCTTTTCCCTTTCAGGCGTCCTCCCCAAGTACTTCAGTGACCAGCACTCGTTACCTTTCTACTGCATTGGCGTGCACACTCGCATGCTCGCTGCCTTTGAGGCACGTCCATGCGCCTTCCAACCAGTTGTACCTTCCAACCCCCCACCCCCATTTCCCCTCCAGGCGTGCTCCCCAAGTGCTGCACTGACGAGCGCGCCCTCACCCTTTACCACATTGGCATGCTCAAAGCACTGGCCCCACCCTCCTTCCTCCCCCCCCCCCCCTCCTTTTTTTTTTCTCTTTCAGGCGTGCTCCCCAAGTACTTCAGTGACGAGCGCTCCCTTGCTTTCTACCGCATTGGCGTGCACACTCGCATGCTCGCGGCATTTGGGGCCGAGGCGAACACCGTCATCGTGGTCGGCAGCGGTGGCGCGTACGTATCCGTTCAAGCTTTCTGTGGTTTGTGCTTTTATTTCTTCATCCGCTCATTCAATGCCTCTGCTGCTGCCTCTGGGGGCCGATGCACACACATTCGCCTCGCCATGGTCGGCAGCAGTGGCGTTTACGTATCTAGTTATTCAATGCGATGTGTCTATCCATGTGATGTTTATTCTACTATGCTGGAACACACAATTGCATTGAGACTGTTTTGTCCTATTTTATATCTGCTGCCTCTCCCTTTCAATTCAATGCTTGCTTTTGTAGGTGTTTTTGACTCCCATCTGTTCCACTCTGTACTCCCTATTGTGTGTTCCACCAGATTCTACAAGCTTCAATTCGACCCGCATGCAGGCGGTGAAATGAGACTGCTGGAGGCAGCCAATTTCCTCGCGACAGAAGATGAGCAGATCTGATTCGACCGATCTTGAAGCGTTGCAAGCAACACACGAGTGGGCATGAATTTGGAAGGGGCGCTTTCACAAAGACTTGTGGGATAGGCACTACTAAGGATCAATTGTATATTACGGACCATTCTGTATCTTAATGTACCGCTTCCATTAAAAATGCATCAAACAACGAGTGCATTCAATGTCAACAGATGTGAAGCTTGGATGGTAATGCCATTGATTGTTCTGATTGTGACGTTAGCTTGTAGACAGTTCGTTCACTCTTAACCTAGAATGAAACATGTTACAAACGGAGCACATTCTTTTAACTTCGCCGAGTCATGAAGGACCAACGAGATGAGCAGTCCTGGACTTTCAGTGGGGTCGTAGCAGATCCACGCCGTACCTACAACCAGGCTGGAATGAAATGACCGACCAGCAGAGCAGAGCAGCAGAGATGTTCTAGGAGTAGCAGTTCAATTTTCCAGATTCTCATTTTCAAGTTTCTAGTTAGAATTTCGCGTATTCGTGCTTCTCCTGATGTGGTAGGTTTTCCAGAATCTCCACTCTTAGAGTTTAGCTGTCTCACCACTCCGACGCCATGGCGCCATGCAATGCGGTTCTCGCCGTTCTCGTCGTCGTGCTCGCCGCGGCGGCAGCGGCCCACGCGATCGACCTGCACCGCCAGGCACGCATGGAGGAACTCAAGGCGTCAATTCGAGATCGACGGCCATCGTTCGTTTTCGTGAAGCTTCGACACGACACGGGTCATCGCACGCTGGTACGATGTCGTCCCGCTCCCTGCCAGGGGTACGACGTGAGAGACAATAAACCCGGGCATGTGTATGAGTGCGGGTCAAAGACACCCGTGCGAGAGAGAACAGCGCAGGATGCAAGAGACTTACGAGTCGACTCAAAGGTCACTCTGGTACGATGTTGGTCACCAGCCACCGAAGCGAGAGAGAGCAATTCGCGATGCAGTAGGTTAGGGCTCCAAGCGGCCGTCAGCGACACACGCGGCCAACGTGCATCATGGAGCGAAAAGGCTGCATTATCCGCGCGCGCATGGAGGAGGTATTCTGAGTGGAGTCAAAAGACTGCGCACTGTCCACGAGCGCATGGGGAAGCTCGATGCGTCCGTCAGAGATTGCCGGTTCTTATTTGACAAGCGCGAAACGACGCCTCGTACACGCCGGCTCTCGTACACTGGCTCTCGTACGCCGGTTCTCGTACACTGGCTCTCGTACGCCGGCTCTCGTACGCTGGCTCACGTACGCTGGCTCTCGTACGCTGGCTCTGCGTCAGATCCTGTGAGCGCCAGGCGGAGGTGGTTCACAGACTCACAGACTCACAGACTCACAGACTCAAGGCATCGTCTGTGAGCCCCGTCCTGCCTTGCTCCTCGGGCTTCCTGTTGGACTTGGTCAGCGGCAAAGGGGATGGTAACTGTTGTGTTACGTCCCTGCGTTACAACTTCATGCTCTCTACTTCCTGCTTACTCCAGTCCCCTCCATTTCAAGTCGTTTCCTCCTCCCCCTCCTCCCCCTTCCCCCCCCCCCCCCGGGCCCCCCCTCCTCTTTTTCCGTCTCATTCCATTCCCCTTCTTCACCCATCCATCCCCCCTCCCCTCAACTTTCGACCCCACCCTCCCTGCTCTCGCCCCTCTTGCCACCACCACCTGCTACGCCCTGTTGCAGGGTGGTTGACCTGATCCCTTCTCCTTCCCACCATCTCTCACCTCCACTTCCCCTGGCTCTTGTTGCATGTGAATCGCAGGAGGACGTGCAGCAGCTGGGCGACGAGGTGGCAGCAGGGCATGAGGGATGGGTGGTTACGCGCTTACGTCTGTCGTCTATCCCCTTCTGTTCCTTCTCGTTCCGCCCTTCTTGCGACCCCCCCCCTGTCATCCATGTGCCCTTTCAAAATGCAGGAGGACGTGCAGCAGCTGGCGACGAGGTGGCAGCAGGGCATGACGGAGGGAAAGATTGGCGCGAACGTGTATCCTCTGGACTCTGACACGCTCCACATCGCACTGCTCACTACGGCAGCTGCTAACAAGGTAAGTCTTCTTGCTGGGTGCGCCTTAGCTCTGCAGCCTCCCAAACTTCCCCCCCTCGTTTGCTTGACACCGGGACTCTTTCCGTTCTTCATCGGCCACTCCAGTCTTCTTAAAGGCACCCATCACTTTCGGCCTTAAGACCGTCTTTCAGTAATCGAGTTGGACAGGGCTGCTTCTCACGCTGCAGCAAACTAGGGCCATCTATGAATGCTCCATCTCTCTTCTGTCCCCCTCGTATGCCATTTCTCCCACTGTCACCTGCTTCGCATGCCCTTCCAAACCCACGGACTCGCAGGTGAAGCAGTTGGCACTGAACCAGGAGGCGGCAGGGTATGAGCTGCTGGTAGGTGCAGAGATGGGGCATGTTGAGGCGCCTGGAGCTATAATACCCTCCCTCTCTCGTATGCCCTTCCAATCCTTGGTCTCCACCATGCAGGTGAAGGAGTTTGTGCTGGAGCAGGACGAGGCGTATGAAATGCTTGTAGGTGACGATGTGGTGCGGCGCCCCGGTGACCCCTCATTAGAGTCACTGGTGCACCGGGATGTGTGGAAGAGGGAGAGGATGCGGCAGGAGATGATGAAGGAGCGCGAGAAGCTGCACCTGGACAGGATGGGCGGCGATGGGGGCATGACGGAGCACCACCGGGCGCGGATCAAGGAGCACCTGAGGGCACGACATGTGGAGAGGATGGAGAGGAAGAGGCAGATGCGGGAGGAATGGCTGGAGAACCATGCTGATGATGATTTGTAGAGTGATGAGTAGTGAGAGGGTGTTCAGTATGCGTCTGAGTAGGAGTTCAGATGACTTGCAGCTGGAAGTTGCAACTGGTTGTACGGGTTTGAACATCGTTGATAAGAATTCTGAACTATTTATCGCTAGGACTAGTGATATTAATCGTTTCACGTAGAGAGGATGCCCATAACGAACGAACCATCATCATTGAACCACCCGATAGCGCCTAAGACACTTCATCGATAGTAAGCGATGACTACTTTAACGAGTCCCACGCAACCATCGATTTTCTCACTTTCCCAAGCTCTGTAAGTGAACCCACACAACGCAACCAGACCTGCCAGACCTCATTTCGAAATTCCACCCTCTATGTCCTGAGCATCCCGAAACCCTCGACGTTAGTGCCCAGCCTCGGCGAGAGGTTCGGTGTACCATACCTTGTCCCGGAACTCTCGCCTCCTTTCCGCACCTAACCCGTTTCCCGCCTTCCAAACTCACTCGAACCGCTCGTGGAGTCCCGATTGCGGCGTACCCTCGAGCATCGCGCGCTTCCAGTGGACCCCTCCTCGCTGGCACATATAGCTCAAGTGTCGCATTCTAAGTCGTCCCTGCTCAAACGGACACCCTCGCGACAATTTAGGCCAGCCAACGGGTGTCGCCATGGGCTCCGATCATCGCAAACCCTCGCACGCCCAAACCACAGCCCTAGCGAATCCGCCAGCCCGCACCCCACCGGCGTTGCGAATCCGCTCAGCAGCGGCCATCGGGTTCCCCTGCTTGCCTCGCACCCTGTGCCTCCCTCCCACCCCCTCCGTGCCTCTCCTCGCATTCCCTTCCCTGCTTCAGGCTCACTCGCCTCTCGTCAGACCCCTGAATCCACCAGCCAGAAGTATAAAACGACCAGGGGTTTGTTATTTCCATTCACCAGTCTGCGCTCAAACTACTTGTTGTACAACCTCACCTTCAGCTTTCGAGTTCCTACCGTCTTCTGCTCTAAGAGGCCTTCGTTACCAGCTCTGTGAAGCTTTTCGAGTGCTTCATAACAATCCTCAGAGCTCTAGCTAAAGCCAGTCCGGCTCCCCCCTTCTCCGTCCGTCTACGACATGGCCTGCGTCGGTGCCGAGCGTGCCTGCGTGGACGTCGATGCTCTGTTCTCGAGCTGCTGGGCGCAAGATGACTCCCTGACTCGCCTCGTCTGCAGCATGATCTCTGCTCCTCTCCTGGTAAGAAAAAACTCATACCTGTTTCCGTTCCGCCTCATTGTGAAAATTTGTCAAGATTTAACTTCATTTTTTATTTAGTCACTCTTTTCAACAGAAACTAACATGCTTCGTCGTCAACCTTTGCAGGTCGACTTCAAATGGTCAACGTCAAGCAAGCAAGGTGCAGTTGAGGCTGCTCCCTTCGTGGTTGAACCGGTTGAATGTACGGTTGAGGCTCCAGCTGACTCGGTTGAGGCTCCAGCTGACTCGGTTGAGACTCCAGCTGACTCGGTTGAGGCTCCAGCTGACTCGGTTGAGGCTCCAGCTGACTCGGTTGAGGCTCCAGCTGACTCGGTTGAGGCTCCAGCTGACTCGGTTGAGGCTCCAGCTAACTCGGTTGAGACTCCAGCTGACTCGGTTGAGGCTCCAGCTGACTCGGTTGTGGCTCCAGCTGACTCGGTTGAGGCTCCAGCTGACTCGGTTGAGGCTCCAGCTAACTCGATTGAGGCTCCAGCTGACTCGGCTGAGTCCGCTCCTAGTTCGGTTGAGACTTCTTCCTGCTCTGTGGAGGTCCCTGCCTGGGTGGTTGCGGAACCAGAGCAGGTGCTTCAGTCATTCCCGGTTGCCGAATTAAAGAATGTAATGGATCCGTGCCTGGTTGCAGAGGCACAGCAGGGTGTGAAGGTGGGAGCAGAGGCGAGCAGTGGGTGGAGCAGCATGAGTCGCAGTGAGAGCAGCTGCAGCAGCCACAGTGCGTGCCTCATTGACCTCGCCTGGGACTCCTCCTCCTCCTCTTCCTCTTCTGACAATGATTGCTGCAGTCTCGCTGAATTGACCGGGGTAGTTCCCCTGGCAGCAGATCAGGACTGTGTGAAGAGAGGTATTGGCCGGGGTATTTCCAGCAGTGGGAAGGGATGGAGCATGGAGGTGAAGGGATTTGGGAAGGCGGAGAAAGGAAGTACTTTCTCAAACCAGCTATTCGGGGAGGATGGCGATGATGATGAGGAGGGGGGGGAAGAGCATGGAAGCAGCAGGCAAAGCTACAAGATTCATGGGGCTGGGAACATGTGTTACATGAATCAGCTGTGGATGGATGAGGCGGAGGAGGAGGAGAGAGAGGCATTGGCAGCATCAGGCATCTCTGTTGGCATCGGTAGGTTTGGTGCAAGGCGGAGAATCTCTGGCTCTAGCAGCCGGGTTACTCTCCGCAGAATGAGCAGCGTGCTGAGACAGTTCTAGTCTCTAGGTGTCTCAAACGGTAGGTCTGTTGTAGTGCAGTGGCAGCTGTGGCTGGAACCAGAGTAACTAGACTGCCACCAACTGGCATGCTTCTAGAACTTGGTCTTGTAAATTATTAATACCATTACTATTATTTGTGTTCTCCTTTTTAATAAAAAGGCGGTGGCCCTCTTTATGTTGTAGAGCCCCTCAACGCTTGTACTGAAGAATCGACTCCGCTTAGAGAGGCGGTTCCTTCAATTTACGCATTTCTCACCAAGATTTATTCGAAATGATAAAAAAGTGTCAACTTATACATATGTTAGTATGTAGAAGTTATAGGCTAGATAGGTGTTTGTTTTTAGAGAGTACAATTCCAACCCTATACCTTGCTTGTTCTCTCTTGTTTCTACTCATTCTAGTATTCTAACATGGTATCATGCGTCCAGCCGGCCCAGGGCCTCAGATTCGTTTTGGGGCACGCTGATCGCTCAGGGTCCCCCCCCCCTTTAGCTCCCTGTTTTTTCAGGCCTCGCATAAAATCTTACGCTGATCAATCAGGGTGTTGTAATTTTTTCACGCTGAATAAACAGTCACCTACGGTATGAGCTGGAGACAGCAGTGGCTGGCAACTTTCGAACAACCTAAGAGAACCTGCCGAGCACTGTGTGCTGGATGAAGAAAGGCAGAATACTCTCCAGGGGGGCGGGGTTCTGGTTGGTCACAGTCAAGTCGGCGTGATTGACGGGGAGGGTGGGGGGAAAATCACGGAACTCACGGGTGGGGGGGTTGGGGCTAGGAATACGCTATTACAAGAATCAGGATCGTGCCCTGATACGACGCTGGAAAAACAGGCCTCACTACACTTGTCACGCTTATCGATCAGAGTTCACTCCTAAAAAAACATTGAAATTTCAGGCCGTTGTCTTAAAAAAATCCCTGTCTCATCAGGGTCATCCCCCCAAAAAGCCCTGATTTTACCCTGAATCAGGGTAAGAAGCCTGCAATCTGAGGCCCTGAGCCGGCCCCTTTGTGACCAGCCGGCCCGCCCCTCGCGCCTAGCCGGCCCCTCGCGCCTTCGCTGGCCCCTCGCGCCCTAGCTGGCTCCTCACGCCTCACCGCCCCCTCGCGCCTGACCGGACCCTCGCGCTCTAGCTGGACCCTCGCGCCTTGCTGGGCCCTCGCGCCTAGCCGGCCCCTCGCGCCTAGTCGGCCCCTTGCACCCAGCCGGCCCCTAACACCTAGCCGGCCCCTACCACCTAACAGGTCCCTACCACCTAGCCGGCCCCCACCGCCTAGCCGGCCCCTCTCCTGCGCACCTCAGGCCCCACGGACCCTGCCGGCCCCTCTCCACATGCCGGCCCCTTGTGCGCCTCGACTCCTCGCGCGCCCTCCTTGGCCTTCCTTTCGGTTCAGTTCTGGAGAGTCCTGCCGCCGTGCCACTAAGTACCTGTGCCGCTGTGCCCCTGTGTCCCTGTGTCCCTGTGCCGCCGTGCCGCTGTGTCCCAGTGCCGCTGTGGTTGAGCGATGGCGGACACCATGCTCCGTCTGGACGCGGAGGGGCACGCAATCGACTTCGCCGCCTCGCTTGTCGATCTCCGCCCGCACCTGACAGGTCAGCGCCAGGATGGGCACTCCCCGGCTATGCATGTTGATGGCTTGCTTCCTCGCCCCTCCGCCCCTGATCCCCTCCCTGCTGTCCCCACGACTGCTGAGAGTGAGGCCTTGGCTGCTGCTGCGCTCGCTCGCGCTGTCTGGGATTCTCACGATGCTGTAGCGCAGCTTGCCATTAGTCATGCGCTTCCCCTGTCTGAGCGACCGCGTTTCACTACTATCGCGAACGCCAAGGCTTTCCTAGATGCTGTAGTTGAACGCTATTCCACGCCTGCCTCCGCCTCAGCTGGACGCTTGATCCTCTCCATGCTCTTCCCTGATCTCTCTGCTTTCCCCATTATCGCTGATCTTGCCACTCACCTCCGTGCACTAGAGACTAGCTATCGCGCTGCTAGCACTACTGCCCAGCTCACTGCCTTCCCCCCGTCGTTCTGCGCTACCCTGGACCTTATTGCCATGCGCCTGCCTGACCGCTTAGCCACTGCTCGTGACCACTTCCTTAGCCAGCACCCTGGTGACCTCACCCTGACCGCTTTTGTCGCTACCCTTTCTGAGATAGAGACTCACCAGCGCACTATCGCTCATTCGAGCGGTGTTGCGGCAGTCCCTATCTTTCAAGGCTGTACTCCCTCCCAGTGCACGTACGCTGACGTTTCCGCTGCGGTCGCTACTGCTGCTCCTGCCGCTGAGACAGCAGCGGCGGCCTTCCCGCAGCAGCAGCGACAGCGTCGGGGTCGTCGCAGCCCCAAGGGAGGGCGTGGTGGTGGTGGCGGCGACAGTGGTTCTGACGGGGGGGCTGGGGCAGGCGTCTAGGAGCAGCAGCAGCCGCAGCAGTAGCCGCAGCAGCAGTAGTAGCAGCCGCAGCAGCAGTAGTAGCAGTCGCAGCAGCAGCCGCAACAGCCGCCGCAGCTGGAGCAGCAACAGCAGCAGCCGTGGGCCCCCCTCACGCCAGGGTGGCCGGGAGCCTTTGGAGGGGGTGGCCGAGGTGGCAGTCCTCGCAGCTCGGCGTCTACCGGCGACTTCGGTTCTCTGGGGTGCTAGTACCAGCTCCAGACTGGTCCCCTTCGTGGCACTATGTGCCGCCGTCCGCACCCGACCGCCCGCTGCTTCCATCGTCTCGACAACCTCTTTTGTCGCCGCTTCGGCCCGGCCCCGGACCTCCCTGATTGGCCCAGTCTGCTTCGCCACGGTGTGCCTGTTTTTGACCTAGACATGGATCAGCTTAGTTCAGCCTTGCATTCTCTGTATGTTGACGCTTCTAGTGTGTCCGGATCTTATTACCATGTGTTCTCTAGCTTAAGCGTAGCACCTGTGTGTAGTATAGACTCCCCTGCTACGTCAGGCGTAGGGCCGTTTGCTTTGTCTAGCCTAGGCTCCACACTCGCTCCTCCTTCGTCTGCGGCTACTGTTTCGCTGTCCTTCACACTTGACTCTGACGCGTCTGCCTGCTTCTTCCGCGACCGCGCCGCACTCACGCCGCTTGCCGCGCCTGCCGCTGTCGCCCTTGCTGACCCCTTGTCTCCTCCTGTTGTTGCTCGCAGCTACACTACCCTCCCCTGTCCAGCGGTCCCCTCGGGCTCCCTTACAGGCCTCCACATCCCCTCGTTCTCCCGGAATCTATAGTGGCGGATTAAATTGTCCACATGTTCAGCCTTTTTTGGCATTTTGATGAGTGCAGCGGCGTAAACATTAAGCCTTAATGTATGGTGTGCATACACGCTGAGAAGATCAGTTAGAGCACTCACTCGAGTTGCCAAACACCAAAGTAGTACCACACATGGTCCTTAAACACCTAAGCATAGCATAGGATAACATCCGGACAATTTGTACCGAATTCAGGTAGCCTACTAGATTCTACAGAAACTAGTACCTAGTCCAGCGTCCCTTTGCCCGAATCACTGCCTTGATCCTCCTCGGCAGGCTGTCGATCAGGTTTGCACACACCTCCGCCGGTATCTTGTCCCATTCCTCCTGCACCCTCTCCCACAGCTCCAGCATTCCCCTTGGCGGCTTTTCGTACTTCCCCAGCTGCCTTTTCACATTTGCCCACAGGTGCTCAATCGGGTTAAGGTCCGGGGAGCACGACGGCCATTCCAGCACCGCGTACTCCTGCTCCCCAAGCCAGTCTTGGACCAGACGAGACCTGTGCTTGGGATCATTGTCGTGCTGGAAAATGACCTCTGAGGGGGAAAGCTTGAAAAAATCGATGGTCTGTTTGAGCTCATCTTGCAAGATGCTGTGATACAGCGGCCCATCCATCCTGCCATCTATCTTGCACATGAACCCCGCCCCCTCATACGTCATGCAACCCCACACCATCACAGAACCGCCCCCATGCTGAACTATCTGTTGGACTTGATGGCTCCGAAGGCTGGTGCCCTCGCGAATCCAGGCGTACGCACGTCCGTCGGAGCAGTAGCGGTTTATCTTTGTCTCGTCAGACCAAATCACCCGCTTCCAGTCCTCCATCGTCCAGTCGGCATGCGACCGCGCGAAGTCGAGACGATCTCGGATGTTTTTCGGTGAGAGCCTGGGTTTCTTGGGCTGATGCACGGCGATCAGCCCCGCGGATCGTAATGAGTTCCGGACCGTCTTCGAGTCTACGGCGAGACCGTGCTTCTCCAACAACATATTTGCCGCTTCTACAGAGCTTTTCGCCTCGCCGCTGGTAATCGCGCGTATTATTCCGCGCTGGAGACGGGTAGTGATTAAGCGGGGGCGGCCGGCCGAAGGCATCGTAGGTCGCACCTCCTCGAGACTAGTCTCGGCAGCCACTTTCAAACTGTAATCGTGCACGGTGCTCTTGCCTATTCCAAGAACTTTGCCTATTTTCCTAGTCGAATGCCCCGCACGCAACATGCTTATGATTCGCGCGCGCTTCCGCTCAGTTAACGGCTTCATGGCGATGCGGTCGTAGGCTCGCTTCCGGACTAACTCCTAAGCCAGCAACTGTTGCGCGTGACGATGTACACACTGAGTGACGGGGGAAAATAGATCTACTCTTCCGCTCGGTTGGAAATGTCCGCATCGATAGTCGAGGAGTAAATTTCAACCCCACTTTCAGTTTGTGTCACAATCGCGCCAAGCAAGAAACGGTTGAAGCAGAACTCGGAAACCTTGTAACGGAATGGCAAAAAACGGGTGTTACTATTTTCGAAACATGTGTGGCATAGCGATACGTTTCAAAGTGTTAAACATCCGGGCAATTTAATCCGCCACTGTAGTTGGTGTCGGTTGTCTTCAGGACCACGGCGTCACCACTACGTTCCCGAGTCATGAGCGGTACGCAGTCTGTACCGAGGTTGCCTCATGTTCCCCCCTTGCGACGCTCCCCCGGGACCCGGTGTTTGGCCTCTTTACGCTGGATACTGCTTCCCCCCTAGGTGGACCGTCCCTCCCGGGTCCTGCGTCTACCCAGGTCGCCGCTTCGTGCTCGTGTCGGTCGCTCACTCACCCGTCACTTTTGTGGCACCACTACCTAGGTCACCCCGCACTCCCGCATCTGCGTGACACGTCCCAGCACAGTCTCCTCCTAGGTCTCCCTGCATTGCTTCCTGCTCTCCCTCC